CACACACACACACACACACACACACACACACACACACACACACACACTCTCTCTCATATTGCATTACCGCAGCGCTGAGGCGTAATTCCCAACGGGACAGGCTCATGCTCGGTTTAATGACTTCAATAAAGTTGGTTTGCATATCAAAAACCTGACCGGATATTCAACAACAGACGGGACAGAAATAGTCATGCAATCTGCCATAAATCATTAGGGACAACCATTTGGCATATTCATACAGGAGATATTTCTCTAAAAAAAAAAAAAAGAAAAAAAAAAGAGTTGCATTGATTGTAGGGCACTTCTGTCGTGTTTAAGAGCAAAGCCAGGACCATGAAGGCAGACACAAGCACCAGGAATTTGTCACAAGAAAGAAGTTGTATGACCTTCTGAAATATATTCACTAAATAAACTGTTGTTGCTTTTAATATAATAAAAAAAGATAGATATGTATGTTTGAGTGAATCTCACAAATGCATTCAAGATTGAGCTTTGCCCGCAGGCATACACTCTGCCATGTATGCGTTTGTGTGTGCAGGAAGCAGTGGGCACAGCCCCTTCTCTCAGTCTGCATCCTATCTGCGTGACAGTAATAAGCTGTGTTGATACCGGTGGCTATGATGGCGTATCCTAATTATGGTAATGCTAAGAATTGGTGCCAGTCTGGTTTCTGACAACCCCACAGCTGCCACTGTGAGTGGGCACACACACGACAATGTGCAGACTTTTATTCACACAAACAAACCTGGGAGGAGAGAGAGAGCGAGAGCGAGGGGCCATACGTGGAATATCTACGAGACAATGCAAATACTTTCTTTTTAGTTATCAGATGCACTCGAGCCTCTCCTACCTTGCTGTGCTGAACAGGCCTGTGTGCGCAGTGGGAGTGACCGTTCTCCAATCCTACACCCGGGGACTCAGTACCATCAGCTGCAGTGCACACATCTGGAGAGAGACAGAGAGAGAGAGAGACACAGAGAGAGAGAGACAGAGAGAGAGAGAGAGAGAGAGAGAGAGAGACAGAGAGAGAGAGAGAGACAGAGAGAGAGAGAGAGAGAGCACTTTTAACATACGGTTTAGCTTCACTCTGCGTGTGCGATAGTGTTTTATGCTCATACCACCATCATCACTGCATCTGCACTATGGTGGTTTCTGCTGAAGCACATCCTTCTACTGATCACAATACACAAACAATGCTGGCTAGTTATAGTCTGAAACCATCACGGGCGCCTGCCAGTCGCGCCTTTCTAAAAATGACTATGGCATTCAGTCGTACCAGAAAAACTTGGCAATCGGAATTAAAGACCATGTTATCTCTCTCCTTGTTTGACTAAAACAAAACAAAAAAAAGTATATTTGCACATAAACTGTCCCGATGGGGACATTATCAGATAAACTCAGCGTTTTGGGAACATTTTCCCAATTTTGACTACTTATTTCTGAGGACATACTCTCGAGCAGTTGGCACATGAAAAGACATTATTCTTGATTGTAGCCCGGGAGGCGGGCCAATGTGACAGCAGGAAACAAAACAAAACGTCTGGACCTCCTGTGGAGCTGAACTTCTCCTTTTTGAGATGCAAATCAGCATCAACTAAATGTCTGACTGATAGAGTAGAGTCACAAAAGATATCCGAGTTTGGTTCTCTTTGTCTTTTTTTTGCATGATGCTGAATCAATCCAGATAACACACGGTTTCCTTCAAGGAATGCCATCATGAAATAATTTGTGTAATTTGTGTCAGACAAGTGTTAATTCCCTACTGTCGGCTTTTACCTCCCTGCCTCTCCATCAGCCTGCCTGAAATCACACGCCCTCTAGAGGCCGAGACGTAAACTGCAGGCCCTTTGATCACACCACTCTCTGTAATGAGGCCTTCAAGTCATTAATCCCTCTGTGTTCAGTTACGGCTGTAGTGCAGAAAACACTAATGAATTGCAATCATTAAGATGAGGCTTGATACTTTCTCTGAAACTGACTCTTTTTTTTTTTCATGCCAAACAATGAAAAAAGTCAACAAAAAGGCATTGAATGTTCTACACGTTTTGAAGAGACAGTCAGTAGTAAAGTTTAGGTACATTTTGGTATATTTAAAAAGAGTTGTTGAAAGGTAATTTAGTGGGGTGCATGTCATGAAACCGCAAAAGCACAAGTATCGGGCAGATACTGACTGAACTACTGACAATTTTCTTCGGTTGGGTTGGATTTCCCGTACCTTTTAGAGTGAAGCTTGAACAAACAAAATGTATCCCTACCAGCTGGGCATCAGCTGTCTTTGTCCGGCGACAAGGATGAACTTACTGCTCGGTCCTGACACCTCAGATCCACAGTGAGATTAAACCAAGCTGACAGGATACTATACATTCACAGCAATAATGAGCCGTCTGCGGTCAGAAGCCCCTTCTGGTCTTTCCTCTCACCCTAGAGTCGCAGAACTGCGAGTATTCATCTGGAGTTGTTTCTACTGCTTTTATTCTTTAGAGTTTTGACAGTGAAGAGAGAACTAGTCGCTTTTGAGGAAGTACAGAACAAAACAAGATCTTAAGAGGAGCGGAAGTGTAGTGAGCTGTATGCTGTTCTGTGGTGTAGGACACAAAAGTTTCTCAGCAAATATAATATTAATGTGAGCAACTGACCATCGAGTCCCTTCTAGGCTTGGATAAATACCACATCACAAAGACTAACCTAACTGGATAAAACTCATTAGAAAAAAAGATGCATGACGTGCAACATAAAGCGGAACGAAACAGAAAACCGGATGGGTAGACAGGGTGTTCACTGTGAGCAGTGGCAAATCCAGGCGGTTCACATGAAGAATGACACAGCTCGCTCGCTTGCTTGCTTGAGAAAACTGCAAAATTGATGCCTTCATAAAGTATGTACACAGAACTGAGAAAGGGCTAAATCAATGGGTGTGCCAAGCATTTCACAGCCGCTACAATTTCTCTTTGTGTCTCTTTCTCCCTCTCACCATCTCTCTGACAAACTAAAACTAAAAGGGCATCACTATCAACTTCACTTTCAATTGTGCTGTTTAAGTGTTCCCATTAAGTAAAATCTATAGCCTCTTAGTACAAATACATCCCCACTAATGACTAGTGGACATGCTTTCAGCTGGTTCAAGGATGTGTGTGGTTATAAGCACCTGAGGAGGACTTTGCGCGGTGGTGCTTGCTTCGGACCTCCTGGTTGGGTTTGAGGGGAAGGGCCTGGTGGTTGGAGGTCACCGTTGGCGGCAGGGGTCCGTCCCGCCTCAGGTTGAGGTGCAGGGTTTGTTCAGCAAACAGCGTCTGGATCAGAGCCAAGTCGAGGCCCGACACACACCTGCCGTTCAGCACCAGGATCTCGTCACCTGGACGCAGGCCTGGCAACACAGTCGAGTATGTTTCAAAAAAGGTGGAGGCCAAAGACCGACAGATCACACGTGTGATACTGTTATTGTTGGTTTCAGCATTATTTGTGTCATTATTAAGCAAGCAGGCACCTTGGTTGAACGCCAGGTCATCGGGTAGCACTTCGCTGACAAAAATCCTGCTGTTTTTCTGGCTGTCAATGTGTCCTGTTACTGCAAAACCTGGTCGGAGGAAGAGAGACAAAGATTGAGACAAACAAAGAGAGTTAGAGAGACAGAAGTATAACATAAAGGATCGTGATGTGGACATAAAATACAGACACTAGAACTAAATCAGTCTCACCAAAGTCTCCGGTGTCACTCGGCCTTCTCATGTGCAGAGTAAACACATTAACTGGGACCACCTCCAACTGATCATTGACCTGCAGGGTGACATCAATACACATTCAACAAAGAGCCGATAATGAAGAGCACTGTGTATCTACGTGTGATTTGTGCATGTTTGCCCTCCTCACCACATCACGGAGGAGCTCGCCCGGAGCCAGGTATCGAACCTCCACACCCTGACCCGCTCGTCTGAGGAGTCGGAGGCAGTGCAGGCCTGCGTCCAGCTGTTTCACCTGTTTACACAAGAGTCCCCCATGATCAGTGGCCTGTATGCACAAAATCATCAGATGTATTTCATGCACCGACGCTTAGTCAGACGGCCGCAGCGTGGCCGAGGCGTGAATTATTCAACGACTTTACACTTTGTGATGAGAAATTTGCGGTAAACAAAAAAAAAAAAAGCTTTGCCCAGCGGAATATGGTGTTTGTCCATCTATGTGCAGTCAGTCTTACGGGACTGTGTGAAATCAGACACTGGATGAATAGGTGTGTTATTTCAAGCTCATGGGAACATAATGTAACCAGATCTGCTTCTACAGATGCTCAAACAAAGACCTGACATAGCTGAAAATTAAACTGAAATTAACTTTAAACACAGGTGCAACTAAACCCCACGTTACAGGAAAATACACATTCCTAACACTTAAGTATAGATGGCAGGATTATGTAAAAAAAACAACTAGACAGCTCATCAAAATGACATCACAGCTTTTTTTTTTTTTTTTGGCAACAACTGTCAGGAATATTGTTCTCTTATTGTGGTCATGTGTCATCATTTCTCTGCAACTAGCCGCCAACCCAACCTTGCAGGCCGCAGAGAGAAGGTCGGCAGCTGTCTGGTCTCTTCTGACAGGAACTTGGACTGTCAGGCCGTCTGGCATGTAGACACACGTCAGCACATCCGTGGCACCGCCGATGCTGTCCCACACACCGCCCTCAGGGGGCGACATGGAGTAGATACTGGTCAGCATGTCCAGCCTCTGTGGGAGAGGGTGAGGAAGGGAGGGTAGAGAGAGATAGAAGAAAGGGGGGGGGGGGGGGGGGGGGGGGGGGGGAAGGGGAAAAAAAAACAGAGGGAGGGAGGGAGAAGGGTGAGAGAGAAAGGTAGACTTTGAGTAACAGCACTCAAATCAATACAGTTCCATTAGTCCAAATGCTTGGCTGTGGATCAAGCAGCGGAGTAAAGATGTCACACAATTAGCCTTTCACAAATTCATTTGACAACATGGACGGCAGTTGATCCACATAATAGTCATCGTAACGGCCCGTGTACACAAGTGGATTGGCAAGGGTCGACTGGCAGGTCTACACGTCCTCACGATACCCGCACGTTTATTTGGGTTAAAAAGCCACAAGAGTAATTCTGACTTCAGCGATGTATTCAGGACAATTTATTTCGAAATCAGTCGAACGTTCAGATCAGCCATTTGAAGGTAATTGCTTGTTGGTGGCATTAACAGTGAGGTTTGAGCCGGGTATTACGGTGTGTGTGTGTGTGGGGGGGGGGGATGGGGGTTGGCCCACCACGCGGCCTCACAGGCAGCCATTTGGGGGTTTTTGGTTGCGACTCCGTGTCTCTGGAGGGAAAAGCGGCGCTGCTGCATTGAGGGGCTGCGGGAGACGCCACAGTGCAGCCGAACGCCGCAATTATCAAAGCCCCAGATCTTGAGGAAAGGCTCAATCACACCAAATGTACTGAAAGTCACGGGTTGAAGAAGCCAGCGATTCAGCACTTCTGACAAAGACAATACGAGCTCTCGGTTAAACTGAGACACGAGAGAGAAATAATTGCATGAGTGATTTGGTCTGGGCGCATAGTGATGTTTTGGAGGCATTATGGGAGCGGTGAAAGCTCTCACACATCAGACAGAGAGCCTCAGACACACAGTCTGAGGATGTCTGTCTGATGTGCATCTGTTTCAGAAGCTGGCAGCTTTGCAGTTGATGCATCACCTCAAGAGGAAAAATACTTTTTTTTCCCCCGGTCAGACAAAAAGCCTAAAGGGAAAAGCTAAGGCCTCTGATTCAGAGCATCACACACACACACACAGTTCTCCGTGTAGCTCACATAACAACAGGCACACACACACACAAACATTTTCTTAATTTGTCATTTAAATGTCGTTGACTAGTCTACTTCAGGAATCAAAATAAAGGTCACCAATGTTCTCGCCAACATGCTCCCCTAACCTGTTGGGATGGAGGAACACAAGGTGCCACTTCTACACCCACCTATGCCTGAGTGTGTTCGGGACGTGAGGTCACAAACTGAGGACGAATAAACAAGCCGTCATGGCAACTGGTTGCATAACCGCCCTGTTTTGTGTCCCAGCGACATGGCGTGACGGGAAAACTAAGATTTTGTTGCCTACGCTGACCTGACGGGTGGCTGACTAACACTGTACACTCATTCATGGTCGGAGAGGGTTGTAACGGAGCGTCGGTTGCCAGGTCAACGTTCCATGAACGACTGCCAAGAGCACAGTTGGGGCACGCGCTGGACTTCAACAAGTGCTCTGTGTGGTGAGTGTGCGTCTACTGTATTTATGTTTGCATTCAGCCAAATAATGAAATACTTCAGTCTTTCCTCTCAAGCGTGGATTTATTTCAAAGCAAGTCGTCCTCCGCCCTGCAGCTTCTAAAGACGGAAACGTGGAGTAACAGGCGGTTTTTAGTGGCCGCGACGCAAATACACCCTTTCCATTCCACTTAGCAACTGGAGAACACAAATATTACAGGACGGCCTCAAATAGATAGCGTGACCGTGAGGAAGAAACAGAGGAGGAGTTGAAAACGACTTCAGCCAATTGCCCTCCATTACATCTTTCCATCGCTGTGACAAGCTCTTACACACACACACACACAGACAATAATAACCATCCATACTGGCTAGTGCCTGTTCCTTAAATAAAAGCAAGAGGTGTGTATTCGTGGGTAGTGGAGTGTGGTGAGAGGTGGTGACACGGAAAGAGGTCGTGGACAAGAGCAGTTTAGATCGAGATCACCAGCCAATAAACCTGAATTTTATCCCTTAAACATATGTCCATGACCCTGTTCAACTCAAGTGCGCATTTTAATTATGTGAATAGCTCAAAGAGAGTGTGAGAATGCAACATTAAGTCAGAAGGTCATTTTTTTTTTTTTCTAGCTGTAGAAAACATATTCACTCACTGGACTGCTGACAGAAGGAGTGGGTGGATGGAGGACTCGAAGAGCAAATGCCAGTCATTGTTAACTCTGTTTGACTAACACCGTTAGAACACTGTTAGAACCTCTAAGGTGGCCAAGACGGCCTCCGGTTTACCGACAGGTTCTATATAGATGTTTATCTCTCTCGGCTTTGTGCAATCTTACAGCTAGACGGTGTCAGCAGAACGCTCAGCCTGTTGAAATAGCTGGTTGGTTAAATTCATGTAGAAAGGACAGCAAACTCTCCCGAACGGTCGCACACACACACACACACACACACACACACACACACACACACACACTATAAGCCGCGCAGCTACACTGAAGCTCGGGCGCACGCATAAAGACGTACCCTTCACTTGACTTCACTTCAAAGGATTAGCGGAAGATGATTGCTTATTAGAGTAATTCAGGGGATTTGAGACAACAGGAGCAGAGATGATGTATGTGTCGACAAAAATCAATACAGCCGTGCTGTCCTCCCCCTCGCTCACCTTTTCCGCCCTGATGGGTCTTAATCCCCTTAAATCAAAACGAGCTGTGTTCCACATCCAAATCTAGGAAAGAGCAAAACACTCAACCCAGGGAAGGGGCGCCACATTTAAAGAAACATTAAAGGGTCGACTCAATGAAGGACATTGTTGTTTCCCAAAACCACTTCCTGAGTCCGTTTTTCGAGGCCTTAAATGGGGGCAGTGTTGACACTCGCCACATTCACCACAGACTCACACTATGAATCATAGCATCCTGCGGAACAGAAATGCTCATAACACCCGTCCTGCTCTGTCTAAAAGCATCCATTATTCTCATCTGTCAACGCCAGACTTCCATCTGTTCACCCAGGAAGGGTTGGATACGACTTTATTTGACGGGACCAACTGCGAAAGATATTTATGAAACATGTCATCTTATACTTGTAAAGAAATTCACATTTTCTTGCCATTTTTCCAGCTGCAGAATTGCTCCATTTGAATTCAAACGGTATTTTATTTCTTGCTGAAGAGTCACTTCAGAGCATGCTCAACAGGTGGGCTGCAGCTCAGCTTTGATTAGCATACAGACTGTAAACAGAGAGAAACAGCCAGCATGGCTCCGTCTGAAGGTGTAAAAGTATAAAAAACAAGAAGTTTTGATTAATGGCGCAGTGACTTCCTTAAGCCTTGCCTTCATTGTGCTCAGCCAAGAAATAGTATGGTATCAGAAAAATAGTGAATTGTTGTTTAAACACACAGTAGTCTGTGTACGATTCAAACAGCCTTCATGCTAAGCTAACCTGCTGCTGGCTGTGGCTTCAAGTTCCCACAGACAGGCATGACAATGATATTGATCTTCTCATCCAACTCTTGGCAAGCCATCAGAAAATATATGCATATCAAATTATTCCTTGAAAGGATCATTGTGATTTATTGCAACCCGAGTCTTATCTTTGAAATGTTGTCCATCAGCCAAAGCTTGCAGCAATATTTCACACGTCCTATATCGAGGCATGCAACCACCCAATAACCAGGCTGCTCACATGGCCGGAATTCACGCTCTTCAATCCTTCAACACTTTTACCGTAAATCCATACACTCACACTTTCAAGCGCTTCTGGTCAACACTTCAACTCAACACTCTCCATTAACTCAATTATGCCGTAAATCGGACGCCTGTCGACGCTGGAGTTTAACACGGTGTAAAAATCTCTTGTTAGATATGCTGTCCATTTCTCTTTCAGACACCTGCTGATCAACATGAAAAGAAACTCTGCTTTGATCGTGGACAAGTAAAATACAAGGGCAGACACACACTTTCTGATCCCCTCACACACACACACACACACACGCACACGCACACGCACACGCACACGCACGCACACGCACACGCACACACACACGCACACACACACGCACACGCACACACACACAATGTGTTAAAACATCTTTACACAGCTCACTATCAAAGCCATGAAAGACAGCCGAGGTCAAAGCAACAGCGGACACATTTCTGCCATGACTACTTCACGCTGAAGCTGATAATTCAGCTCATAAAATGGCACCACAGGATGGATGTGACAGATGGCTGTGGAATATTTAAAAGACACTTCAAAGATCCACAAGCCGTATCGGACAAAGTTACCGAACGCCCTGACTCACCTCATTGCTCCTGGGAGGTAGGGCGTAAGTTTGACCCCCAGCGTCGCTCTCAAAGATCTGAAACAAAGAGACAGACGGTTAGAAGTGCAGACAGAGGGGCACCACACTGATTGACTCATAAGCGATCTGAGTGCCACACAACATCACACACACACAGTGCTATTATGTTGTTAATTAAAAAGTACGTGTGGCGAGTGCGGCGCTTTGATAAACGGGGGTCTGTAGCCTTTGAAGGTGCAATGGTGGAAATATGCTGTGTGTGAGTGGAGGGTGTGTGTGGACACGGAGCGGTTTCTGCGTAGGAGAGATGAAAGAGCGAAACAGTCCGTTTACAGATGAGAAGAGGACAAGCCCCCCCCCCCCCCCCCCTTCCCCCCACACATCCACCCCCCAGTGTAGAAATCTCTCCGTTCTTGATCCACTCCATCTTCCTCAACCTCTCCTCGTTAGAGCCTCTCCCCGGCTTGTGACTGTAAGGCGTGTTGTGTCAGGCTAAGCCCGGTGTTGGAGGTGACTCTGCAGCCTCAGAGGGCTTTAACAACTCTATAGTACAGCAGTGACACAGAGCCATCTGTTATGTGAGGGTGTAACTTCAGCCCTCGCTCAAACAGGCTGCAGTTGTTAGGGGTTTTCAGATACTTTGTCGCCGGGCAGGAGAGGCATGATAGGTGGCACAGCTGATGACAGAAACGGGGGATTTTACTGTAAAATGAACTTGAAGTTAAAGCTGAATCAGGATCAGGATTGCTTTTCTCCAGAAACGATCCCAAGAAGTTCCCTTTACAATCAGAGAAACTCTATAGCTCACCATCCAGTACATTTATAAAAAGGCTGTAAACAGTACTGCCTCGCTGTAAACTGACTAATTTTAGAAAGCTTAACAACCCTTCCACAAATCCTCGGACCTTTCTGGCCTACTTCCCACAGCCGACTGCCGTCCAGCTCCTTACTGTATACATAGCTCTCTTAAGACGGATGAGAGATGAGAAAACGAGAGGCAAGGAGATGGGGGGGGGCATGACTTTGGGGCAAGGCTGTTAAGCGCGGCGGTGCAGTGGTAAATGGGATTTAGTCTTACTCAACAACGATGAGTCAGTATGGAAACTGTGGGAGAAGGCTGCCGGCTAACACTCTTATGTTTATGCTCTAAGAAACGGGGGGTTTGAGAGAGGACGAGGCCGAAGGGAGAAAAAAACTGAAAGACAAATGGTGAGACAAATTGGGGGTGAGAGTGAGATGAAACTCTACCTTTAGGATATTAAATAAGTAGGATAGAGTTAGAGGCAAAAAAGAAAAAGAGTTGGAGTTGGAGGAAGGGGGATCAATAGAGAGCGAAAGGGAGGAAAGCACCGAAAGAACATATCTCGAAAATCTCGGAGGAAGCGCAGTCTAAGAACCCGAGAAGGTAACAACAGATTAAGTGCATGGAGGAACATTTGGCTCCTCAGACGACCTCGGCGTCCAAATCTTTTTCCAGCAAATGCGTGTCTCGTCAGTACAGGAGAGAACAGCCAAGGAACACTACAAATGATCTTTGGCTCTTGTATAAAACAGAAAAGAAAAGCAAAACGCCACAAAACAACAGATGTCCACAAAAACCCAGAAATGTGGAGATCCGTTGAAGCCCTCACCAGCCTTTTTCTGTTCCTGATTATCCTCTATACGTGAAGAAAAAAATATATCAGAAAAGCACTAAAACAAGCTTGTAAGAGAAGGTGGATCCGGGGAAAAAAATTAAAAGGGAGGCTGTTTAATATTTAGCATCTTAACACCAACCATCTGCTGGTGTCTGCGGGGCTGAGGAGAAAGTGGAGAATGCCATCTACCACACATGGCTTTCAATAATTCATGCGTGTGCTGCAGCGCCACCTCGGCCTTCTGCACTGCGAAATGTAACTGGGCCTCATTAGGCCCTGCCGGCTGGACTTCCCCGGGAAAATAATAACAGGCATATCTCGTCGCTGACAGACGTGTGCAAATGCCCAAACATAAATATCACAGAGCAGGTGGTGGGACTGGTGAGCGAGATAAGAGCAAGTGAAACAGGACAGGGAACATTTTGTAAGCAGTCAGAGGAGTCAGGGCTCACCTACTGGAGTACATGATTAGCTCCAAAACAATAAGACACCATATTGACTTCACAGCATAAAGAAAAATGACGGTAGGATGCCAAAACCACACTCCTCTCCCTTCCCATACTCTCAGCTAATGAACGGAGTTCTATAAAAGACGAGCAAATTAGTTTTTTCATGTGGCGGTTCTAAAAATAGACCACCAAGAGTGCAGTATTCTCCAGGGACAAACCTCCAGGGTAAAGAGTGCCGGATTTTTGTATCAATAAATAGTCAGCTTGCATGAGCCTAATTACTAACCTGAGAGGATTTAGACCCCCCCTTGCACCTGGGAAAGGAGTGCCCCCCTGTGTTTATGTTGATGGGAGGTGTGCACTCGAGGGGGTGGGACATGAGCTTATGTGCTTCTAATTAATAAAATCTCCTTAGGGGGAGAATGTGCTGAGATTGATGCATGACTGTACCGATCTCTGCTTTCTTTCATGTCAACGCAGGCAATGTACACGCAAGTAAGCAACAAGGAAACAGGCTTTTCCGGCTGTTTCATTATCAAATATGCACGATGTGTACCGAGGGCGGAACTATCAAGACACAGTTTTTCTCAGCATGACATCTTAAGAGACTGCGAGCAGTATACCCCAAACATTGTGTGCACGCAATTTTTGCATGATCACGTCATTGTGTGTATGCGTGTGGGTAGTTCCCCCTGCTGAATATATGCAGTGGGTGATCCTGCATTACAAGTCTGGAAGTTCCCATCTGTTTTTTTTAATCTGATTTAAGTGAAATATAAATGACTTTATTGGAGCAACCGCTACTTCAAATTGCTAACATTTTGGTACATATATTATATTTAATTAATGCTTGGATCTGCTTGTGCCTGTGTGTGTGTGTTTTCAGTGGTACCTGTGAAGCAGAGGGCCTCTTATCCCGGCCCCTCTTCGTCAGGTTGTCGAGGCCCTTGAGCGAGGAGAAAAGGCCTCTCTTGCGCCGTCTGTGAGTCAGGGACAAAGAGCGCCTTCTGAGGGTGGCCTCGTCTCTGGAACAGATCTGAACAGACACACAAACTATCAGAACTGCAATCATTTAACAACAACAACAACAAAAAACAACTCTAATCAGACCATCTTGATTAGGTTAATTTTCCTCCAGTAATGCATGAAGGGAGTGTTTGTTGGATGCTTTTTAGTTTCAAACGACTGAAATATTTTCAAGGGTATACCCTTGAAAATATTTATGTATTTTATATAAATATATAAATAGTCCTCAGTTTCCTCACCAGTGCATGGAAGGAGGAGACAGAGAAGATCCCCAGACGTCCCAGGGTGGTTTTGGTGGGTCGGCTGGCTATTGCCAGCAGGCTCTTTGGGTTAGGCAGTTCTCCACCCTGTAGACTGGCCAGGTAGCAGCGCATCCTAAACAGATCCATGTTAAACCTCTCCAAGTTCTGCTCCCACTGCTGGATCTGAAGGAAAAGGAAGATTATAACTTTACAGGTGTGACCGAGCTTCTGAATACGAATTTTCGGACCGTTTTTGTGGGATAGCTGAGACATGAGAGTGGAGGGGAGGGGGCTATGAGAGGGGAGAGGAGGGGAGGCAGGAAATTGAGAGCCAAGGAGGGAGATCCAGGGTCAGTCGAGGCCTTTCCATCGAGCTGCAATTGCTTGCAGATGTTGGTGGAGGGTGAGGGCACAAATTGTGTGCGGGTTTAATACTAAGGGGGGGACTACATATCTAGCAGAGGAGTAAGAGTGTGTGCAGTAAATCCTAATGCCCGTTTTTATGCAAGGCTAGAGAGAGTGGGGATGTTGCACAGAACACCCGTTAAACCTCCACCCCGCACACACACACAAACAGGACATACACACGGTTTACAGTTGCTTTCCCCCTATCCCCGTTTGCACTGTTTACGCTATGAGAAAGTGCTTATTTTGTTGGCTGGAGACTGGTTTTAATGAGAACACTCAAGTTAAACAACTCCCGGTAACCACTGACTTTAATAGGTCTCGTCTGCACTGCGAGTTCATTTACAATAACGCACCCTATGGCATTGTGCTATTAGGTCTCATTTACATTGATGGCATTCTTTAGACATAGGAGGTTTATGAACCTCTGACTTTTTAAACATCTTAAAGAACAGAAATCACCATGGAACCATACTGGGCTATGTGCTAAACCCATAAAATCGACTATGTACATAGCAGCGCAGGTGGCCTCGCTTAACAAGCCTCGAGTCAATGACAGTCGGCCATTATTCCCATTCCAGACGTGGACCATGAGGACAACTTCTAGGAATCCACATGCTTTGGGTAAAAAATGGTTAATTCCACTGAGTGGTTTGAAGATGACTTCAGATGGGGAGTAAATCAGTTAAGCTCCTTCCTCAACAGCAAAGACAGATTTAGGAGAGTTGCTGCTTCTGGATAACTCACGTCTCTATGTATAACTATCACGCAATGTCCTGGTATGGTCCTGATTTACACACCATCAGGATCTGTTCGTCAACACTCAAATATCCAAGTCTTCATTTAGGGATGTTCCAAAAATAGTCCTGAGCATAAAATTTGATTTGATGATTCATGCCAGGGGTGCATCACTGATGACTGCCTATATGCAGTCTATTGCATCATGCCTTTAGCAGGCCTGAATGAGTGCAGTGAGACAATCAACCAAAGCAAAAAGCAAGGCATGTTTGGGCCCATCTGGCCTGCGTGCACAACTTATTTACATTCATTTCAGAGCCATTAAGCTCGGCAGACATAAGCCTTTCTTTAAACAGATTCTCATCTTTTCTTATTTCCCCTCTTTAACATCTGCCCCTGGCTCGCTGTAAAAAGCCCTAATGCATAATAAGTCTTTCAATGCAACTTGATCGCAGTGTGTGTGTGTGTGTGCGTGTGTACGTGAGCATGAGTGTGTGAAAGGGGGCAAAGGCGGTCTTCAAAGAGGTCTACTGCCACTGATTTCAGCAGACACGGGTGGGGGTGGGGTACATCAAAGTAGTGCCTTGTTGGGGTTCGACAACCCCACTGAAACCTTAACTCTATCATCAGCTTCAGGGCGCCTGTATCAGAGCCCTGTCCCATACCCCTCTGACCCTATCATTGACTCCAACCCCGTCTGTCTCTTTGTCTCCTCTGAGGTGGCATCCTGGCTAATTGGAAACAGATCACACAGTCAGTCGGTCTCGCAGGCAGGCAGTGACATCTCCATCTGGGACTATGGGGGTGAGCAGTTCCGCTTCTTTCTTGATTGTTCTTCATAATAACATACTCATATTTCCACTCGGTGCATTTAAACTAAACACCAAGTAACAGCCCTTCCAATAAGTATCCATTTTGTATAAGCAGTCAGTGCACGTTGACATGAGCAGCTGACAAAACGCAAACCCATGTGGCTACGCAGAGGCAAAGCGCAGAAGTAAGAGACACGTAAAGTCAATGACCACCTCGGTCACAGGTAACGGCTGTATTTCTACACATTCCACAACAAACAGCAAGTTCTCGTAAAAGTATTTGGATTCTTGCTGAGCTATAGATTGTGGGCTTCTTATACCTGTCAGTAATCTGCTGTATGTAGGCTACAGCACAGCGCTCAGTGCTTTGGATTCTCCCCCAGGCTGCGAGGAGGAGGAGGAGGAGGATAATGCATGTTGAGAGCCCATTACCAGGAAACATCTGGAATCTCAATCTGATGCTCGGGGAGCGAGCTGCTCCCCTGGGCCCCTCGTGATGCGTTTGGGGACTGATGCATTTAGGCCACTTCATCCACCCACAGACAAAAATAAGCACGGGCTTGTCGCCGCAGTCACAAAATCCGTGAAATTAAGTAAGGCACATCATGCGGTTGCTACACGTATCCCATGGAATAACAACTCATAGATACAGTGTAAAATAGGATAGAGGCCTCCAAAGTTCTCAGTGATGCCGGTATGAATTCCCACTAATGTCTCACTATCTGTCTCATTGTCACCACCTCACCTGGTTCTCAATAGCCTTGCGGTTCTTGGGGTCGCTGACCACCGTCAGCTGCAGCTCGGCCATCTTCTTCATCTTCCCGTCCATGTCGATCTTTTGCAGAAGGCCACGGACCTGGCTCCGCAGCAAGCGCACCGTATCCTCCTTCCCCTGGCGCTTGGCCAGCAGCGAGGCACTGGCAGAATGAATGGCCGTCACCCAGTTCTCCAGGTCGGTCTGGTTGCTGGCCTGGAAGAGCAAGGAGGGACATGGGGAGTTCAATTTGATGAAGTAGCGAGACCAATATTCCCGTTACTAGACGCATTCACAAATGCTACGCCTGATGTGTTATTTAACCATACATCACAATAACATCATTGGGTGGCAAGCTGGGCATTGCTGGATCAATAACAAAAAGAAGACGTGATTAACGGTGCCTCTATGAGAAAGCACAGATTGTGAACTGTTGCTGAAATCAAACCCACATTTTCCCTTTTAATAAGCCATTTCAAGATTATCACTCTGTAAGGCGATTCACATGGAGGAGGCACGTCAGTTGAGAAATCAATTGAACCCCCTTCAGATTGAGAATGACTCATGCTCAACAGGCCATGTGAGTGGAAACAAATGTAGGAACCACAGGCTGTCTTCATGCTATCGAGCTGATTTTCTCTCTGCTTGCCCCTGGGGCCATGTCAGCACCACACAGAACTATTTTATCAGATGTAGGTCTGGACACCGCGACACAGTGCAGTCTGGGAAGCTTGTAATGGAGGAGGCTACACGCAAAGAGCCGAGACAGGGCATGAATTTGGTCGTGATATGTAGGTCAGTAAGCACAACGGGCAAATGTGCTCTCAGACCCTTTGGCTGGGAAGTTTGGGCACTTTGCTTTCAAGTCCCTCCGATGCTAAAATTGGTCATTTCACATGCTACACTCCAGGGAAGGGAAGCTAAAAAGGTGCATGTCTGGTATAAATTCAACTACAACCATGCACTGCAACTGTACACTCCAAAGCTACATATTTCTGTTTGTTCTCATTTAACTCTGCTGACTGTTTACTGTCATCTTGCATCTATGTGTCAACCGGCGTGCTTCACCTGAAAGAGGTAGACGTCTCCATATGAGTTGCTGAGGCAGAAAACATTCTCCTTTTTGGGGTGCTCTGGAACGGCCTGGACGATACCGTCCTCGGCTAGGAGAGCGTAGCGAGGGGACAGCTCCTGCTCCAGAGAGCCTTTACCGTAGGTCTCGTAGAACAGCAATGTACATCCTGGAAACGGTGGAGTAGAAAGGCAGAGACACAGAGAGACAGACACAAACGTGCATGAGTAAGTGGTGCAGAAAACAAGTTCCTCTAGTCTGCAAGCGTTTTTTTTTTTTACAGCCGTCACGTAATGTTTTACAGACAAAATGTCCTCGTAAAAAAACATCCAACAAGTGAAGTTCTGCAGGACCGGGGTACACAGAAACGTTTTACATACTCCCAAAATGCCACAAATGATAACAGTGTCCTTGCTTATTCCTTATATATTTTTTTACTTCCAAGAGGCACTCTTCAGTATATACTTAGCAGTTTTGGAAAAGCAGCATGCGCAGCCTGAATTTTATCCATTTGGCGAGAAGCAACAGCATAATTCCCTTGAAGCTTTTAGGGTGGGATGGAATCACAATCACTCACTGTCAAGTGTAATGCCATGGTCAAGGACAGAAATGCTGTTGAGATTAAGAACAAAGAGGGACCCACCTGCTCCTAAAAACTGAATTGTGGTACGAAAACTATGATAATCTACTTACCTGTGAATTACTTTAAAACCACATGACAGCACATTCTTTGACTCAATTTCAAGGAGCATAATCGTTTCCCCCTCACTGGCACACTGCCTCCTCCCAGATTCACACTAACCTTTCAGGGTCACCCAGTACTGCTTCCACTTGCGGCGGGTCACTAGCTCCAGCTTCCTGTCCTTGTGCAGGGTGACGAGGGGTTTAAAGGAAAGCCAGCCAGCCCGTCTGACCACCCCCTGCTCCTTTTCAAACAGCAGATCCAGCTGCTCCAGGGAGCCCTCAGCCGACTCGCTGCTGCTCTCCCCCTCTTCGGTGCCCGTGGATGGGTCTCTCCTCTCGCCGCCGCCGCCGCCTCCCCCTCCTCCTCCTCCTCCTCCTCCTCCCTTTCCAGTGCCAGTCTCAAGCTCCCTCATGAAGTTCTCATAGATATTCTGGCGGAGGGCGTCACTGGTCGTTTGGTGAATGGCTCCTGATGATTGGGCCCTGGAGGCTCCTGGGAACCAGAGGAGGCTAGAGACCTGAGACGGGGAGCTGGTGTCTGCAGTCAGGCCATCAACCCCGCTATCGAAGGCATCGCTCAGGTCCTTGTACTTGGACTCCTGAAGTTAAGAACAGGAAAGAGGAGCATGAGATGCTAGAGGATGATGGACAAACCATGTTGGAGAAAGATGAGAGTTTCATGTCAGCTAAACAAAACCCAAATAGGCTCATTGATTAGTCACCATTAGAGGTGTTGGACTGGTTTTAAGATTTCCAAATTGATGTACAGAATTTTTGTTTCCAACTACATTTATGCAAAAGCGCACTATGTTCACTCCCAGAGGTGCACACCTCTGAATACAAGCTTACATTGGGACAACGATCAAACGGTGCTTCTTTCAATTAGCCCCAAGGCGCCGCAAAAGTGGAGGAGGAACTTTTGAAAAAAAATAAAAAAAATCTACTCAAACCACTCAAACCTACTTCAAAGTCTGCATTACAGTCTCTAACTCTATCGCTAGGGCTGAGAAAGTGGGACAAATTTCCTGTGCTGGCACCTGGGAGGTTGGAACCCTCCAGGCTCAGACAATTTCACGTCATTTGAGGTCTGCTATGGCTTCCAAACTCCTCGAATAAACACTTGATGGAATTGCACTCTTTCAGGCCTAATGACAGCCTACCTACACTTGACTAGATTGCAGCATTGATTCTGCCCCTGGCAACAAAGTGGAGTGCTTCTCAAAATGCAGACAGAGTGTGCGGCGTCATGCACATCGTCCATGTTTGTTTGTTCCTCTGCCTCACTCAGCTTTGTCCATGTCTTCTCCGTCCTTACTGATGCTATTCCTATTGTTTATAATTAGCAAACAATTAAAAGTTGCCAAATAGGAAAAAAAAAAAAAATAGGATGGTACTTAAAGCCATTTACGAATGATTTGCTTCTATGGAAAATAACAGCAAGGTAATGCTTTATTGATTCCTACAGGTTCCTGTTTAGCTACAGGGCAGCAATGAACCCGTTGAACCCATAGTGTTCAGTTGAGGACAGCCTTTGTTTAAACATTACATCCACCTGCCACCATATTTGTAAAGTACAGATGTAGGAAAATGTGTACTGAGCAGAGGGTGGGTCTTTTTCAGCTTTCCTTATTTTCCTTTTGTTGACACAGCCTGGATGTGTCCACCCTCTCCCAGTTCTCCTCCAGCTGCGTTTCATTACAAGCAGGTTATTGGCCTTTGGCACCAGGGTGGCGGCGTGACCTTTAAACCCACAACAGAGCCCTGGAGTTCAGGTGGAGGAGGGGTACCAGAGCTGGAGGAGCTGCTGATTTTGGTTGACTTGGCTGAAAGGAGGCACTGTGAACAGCTCTTGGGAGACATATGCCACAGAGGTTTGGCAGTGAACAAAATGGCCCCCAGAGAACCGAGGCAATTCATTAAGAAGGCCAATATAAGCACCTGAGTGACTTTAATGGGAAGTTGCAGGCCTCGTCAGTCACTAAGAAAAAGAACCCCAGGCGTCAATCACTGATTCTTTTCTTAATTTTGTTGGTTGAATAATCCTTAATGAAACTGAGCCAAATTGTTACAATTTAACAGCAATACCTGATGCTGGCAATGGATTTTATTTTCTTCTAGTAGTCGCACCTCATTTAGAGGTTTGGAAAAACAGCTGTCAATCGGCTTCATTTCTGCAAAACAAAGACCGAAGTAAATCTGTGGGTGCTAGTCCCTCTGAAACAGTCAAGCGGGCAACACGCGGCCATAGATTAGCATGATGTTATGGCAAGCAGGAGATTTAGAGGCAGACATAACCCATGTAAAGTGAAAGCTGTGTAACACTTAAAATGAATACTGTCAGTCTACAGCGTATTAGTCAGGGTGGAGTGACAGCGTCAAGGCAAAGTATCTCGTATATTTCACTTAGCATTAACCGCTGTTTCAGCTCACAAATTCATCCTCTAACAAAGAAGAGAATGCCGTCTGAATGCAACGATTGTTCCATCTTTTGGTTTGTTGTCAAACCCAACTGACTGAACACCAATCCCTATTAGCAGATTTACTCTCAAAAGGTTCCACGGAGGGGAGCCCAGAAAGTCTGCACCACACAACAGCCAGAACAACCATAAGTCATTCATCAACATTAGAGGAGGGGTAGGGTTCAATCTTCTGCTAGGATTTAGTTGCACTCTAACAGAGCCTCTCAAAGGCTTACAGCTATTCTCTTGGCAGTTCCCGAACAGTGTTCTTAAAACTTTTCCAAGCCGAAGCTAAACGAATTAATGCAGAAACAATCGCTTTCAAGCCTCGAAGACGGAGAGGGACATGAGTTCAGGCTCAGTTCCAATGAACGTTTCATGTCAAATTAAAGCTATTTAGAATGTAGTGTTTGTAGAATTGTGTAGAACAAAATCACATGGTTCTTAAAATCATGTGCAGGCAACATGCAGACAAAGCTGTGGGTTATTTCCAACCTCTCCTCTGACCTGTACGTACAAGTATCATTTTACTACTAGGATATATATATATATATATATATATATATACATATATATATATATGAGTCAGCTGTCTGCTCCGTGTCTCATTTGCTAGTATTTCCATGTTGCATCCCTCTCCATTCGCAAAAGTCAGTGCACTTCAGCAATCAGTTACCTTGAAACCTTTTTAAATAACAATTCATGGGCGAATGACCACTAAGGCTGAAAAAAAACTTAATACTCTTCAGTTAAATAAACACCCTCGCAGCCTTAATGTACGTCTGACTGCAAACAAAAAGAGATGAAAACATCAACATGCCACAAGTGCTGTACATACAACAACTAATCACAAACAATCAGGACGCAATAATACTTAAAATGTACCCACCCAGATACAGTCATCATGAAACCTGCACATAAGCCTTGAACTTCTCTTCCTCTGAGGATCATCCATGTCTTGCGCATCCTTGTTCCATCGTTACAAAAACAAACAAGACCCAGCTCTGGCTGCCTTACAGATTATATTTTGTGCCGCCCCACTGTTCCCTGTCTCCGGACAGCTGGCGTTGCAGTGCTAAGGACCAGAGGACGGTGGTTGGTTCCTAGCCATGCCAAGACCACCGCTGTGGCTTGCGATCAAATAAACCTTGCCAGACAGGAAACTATCTGTGCATGCTTTCACCTATCTAACAAGCTGTAGCTCTAACGCTAGTCGTGAGGCAACAACAGAAGACCACAATAAGAGGATGATACGTTCATCTATTGTGTGCTATGGGGGCTATAAGTCAGGGGCAACTACGAACACCACATCTATGCAACCTATTGTTTTACATACCGTGTAGATAAGATTCATGTATGAACCCTGTGAGTGATAAAGGAGTGTAAATCAAGAAAACTAAATATATATGACCCTGGCCAAATTTACCTGTGACTTCCTCTTCTTGCGGCTGAGGCTTCCTGTCCAGTCACTGAAACGCCTCATGCGGTTTTTGATGGAGTCTTTTTTATGGAAGCCAAAATCAGGTCCGCCCTGCTCCTGGTCAGGATACTGGTCCAGATCCTCGCTCATGGTGTGGGCTTTGGGCCTGCGACAGGGCAGGGTGTATGATGAGTACTGGCAGGCCTCAGGAGATTCTTCCTCCAATGGAACATCCAGGACAGATGCAAAAGAAGCTCTGTGTGGCCTCTGGCCTTGTGGAGGCTGATGCAAGTGAGAGGACAGGTGCCTGGCAGTGGGAAAGGTGGCAGCCATTGTGGAGTCCTTATAGAGGTCTGTGATGGACACAGGGGGAGACTGTTCAGTGTCCAGCGTCCTGCTGACAGAGCAGGGTTGGTCCTGCTCGCACAGCTCTGTGCTGGGCCCCCAGGGAGAGTCATACCAAGAGCCATCAGAGCTCAGTGAGCTTCCCTTGCTGGTCCTGGCCGTGGAAGAGGTAGAGGCCGGAGGTGGGCCGCTGTGGTGGCCGTCCTGCCTACTACCACTTGAGCCAGGCAGACTGGGAGTGGAGGCAGACTCCAGGTTGGGGGAGAACTTGAGGAGTTGTACGGGGCCAGAAGCCCCGTCCAGGAGGACGGGATTGCCCGAGGTGTTGGTGAACTCCACCCTGAGACTGCCGTCCTTCTTGATCACCACCCGTGGGCTGCTCTGTTCCTCTAAAGCCTCATGCTCATCAGTGTGTCCATTCAGAGTGCACCCATTAAGATCAGCCCCATATGGGTTATCTTCGTACTCATCTGACATGTGACGTTTTCGTATACCACATCCAGGCGATCGATGCCAGCGATGATCACCTGGGCTGGCCCTTATCCCCTTTGAGACGTAGTCACAGTGCCTAGGGGAGTAAGGCAGCCTGCTTTTGGGAGGGGACAGACAGCCACGGCCAACACACCTGGCCTTGTACCCCGAGCCCAACGGGGCACTTTTCCACCACGTATGGGGCGACAGAGCATCACCTTTGGCTGAGCGGAGCTTCAGAGAGCATGGCTTCGGTCTCCCAGGGAAGACAGAGCTGGTGCCTTTGGGGCCCTGGATGCTATACTGGCTCTCTGAATTTCCCATTGCTGCCTGGAAAAAATGAAAACAGGGAAACAAAATCGTCACCGGCATTATGCTACTGGAAAATTCAGTTACTCCCAAATTAGGCAGTATAATATACATGACATGGTATGACATAATGCCAGCTCATCAGAGACATAAAATTAACTTATTACTCATAAACAATAACGACTACACTCCCATAAAAACCACACCATCTACACATAATCGTTAAATTTGCAGTGACTGTTTCCAAGATAAAACAGCAGCGGGTGGAATATCTTCCTCATGCCTTTGAAAGAGAATAGCTGTATGAAATTCTATCACATTAGGTCAATAACCTGCATAGCCTACCCTTCATTTTACTACATTCATCCATTCTTTCTATAGAAAAGTCAAGTTAGATGAACAGGATTTATGTTGTCATGGTTGTTATGTGAGACGGAGTCCAGGACAATGTGAAATCACTTCCAGACCGTCCACAGCACTCCGACATTAGTGATGGAGAGCCGTGACCGGACAGACACATTTCATTAGAGGGCTGATGCTACAGCAGATAGTGCTGGGACACTGTTGCTGGTTAGAGACAGTGTTGTATCTGCTGCTGTCTGTTATGCCATTACTTAATACCTACAATTGTCTTCAAGTCTTTGAATTAGCACACCAAGTAGATTAAGGCTATAACACCCGAGGTGAAGGTGCTGTAATAAGAAAATGACCCAGTAATGTCTGTTTTAAAGTACCAATGCATTTGAATGGTAAAAAGAAAAATTGACAAATTGTAATATGTATACCAAAGACACATTACTATAATTACACATACTATTATTGGCAACCCAGATATGAAGGCCACAGACTCACCTGTCTGAAAAGTCTCTTCTCAGATTGGAGCTCCTATGTGCACGGTTCCCTCGGCCTCATTCCTCAGAGTAAATTCATTCCTTTGTCGTCTGGCTCATCTGAAACACAGAGAGAGAAGTTGACTTAGTGCTTAGTCTCTTTCTACAGGACTGTAATTTACCACATGTAATAAGCTCCTTGTTTGATAACAGGTGTGCCAGTTAAAGAGTCGACCTAATCCGCAGCATTTGGGAGAAGACAGAGTTTGGTAGGCAGCCATACTTGCTTCTCACTGGGACAAACAAAGCCAGTGCAATACCAAAACAGCATCTGTGATCTCACTTGCTGTAATTTGAGATTTTCTGTATGTGGAAAAAAACATTGATCTTATTGGCAGGTTTGGAAAGAAATGATTCAGCCAATATCCTAGAGACGAAAATGTTTCCTCTGTATAAACTTTGCAGCTCTTAAGTATCCAACAGATCCAATGAACTTCACTCCAAGCAACTTCCCAGAAGTATCACGTCAACTGAGCATTGTACTACACAGCACAGCACAGCACAGTCGGGCCTCCCTGGCTCTACAGTATGACTATTTGAAAAATTCAGTCCAACCCCCAAAATCTCTCCTCAATCAGACATCCCAAACTGAACATTGGCGGCATGATTCCACCTCCCGGCAAGTAAATGACATCATCTTTGATCAGGGTTGGGAAAGTTTTTGAAAGCCGGCTACAGTTTACCCGTCTGTTTATTTTTAAACCTCGGAATCCTAGCTTACTTTTTTTTTTTTTTTTCGCTCGTCACCGCCAAATTTGTCCGAGGGGCAGGATCCAAAACCAGAAACGGCTGAGGAGCGCTCTTTGCGGAGGCACCGGGCATCTTCTGAGAAGCAGTGAGACTATGTCTTGTGTGTGTGTGTGTGTGTAATATAACCCACTTACATGCATGTAGCTCACACTCCAGGAAGGCTTTTCAAATAGTGCTAACTCTTCTAAGCCTCGCAGCACACGTACAGAATGCGTAAGGTTACAGTGTGACCCCCCCCTGCCAAAAGCCCTAACCTTCAGGATTAAGAGATCTGCAGCATTAAGAGTTTATCTGCTCCTGCTTGAATGCACCTCGGCTGTGAGGCCAGATTAAATAGGGTTGGCGGACTAAATGGACGACAGTAAAAGAGTGTGTTTAATACATGAAGTTGAGAGGGAAATTCCAGGGAGACTTGAATATATTCAATGTAAAGCATATGAGGCGCTAGATCCCGAAGTTCAAGGACAGGGCAAAGACCCAGACTAACGTTACACACACACAAAAATCAAAACATGACAAGAAGTCTCTTATTTTAAACTGTTTACAATGAAAAAGTCACACTTGAAAGCACAGTGGAATCTTAGCCGGAGACATGTAGGCCTGGTAATGAACTTGAACCATCACTCTGAGCTGATCAGAGGATTAAACAAGCACTTGCTTTGTTCGTCATGAGTTAAAAAGGGTGAAAGCAGCACTGATACAGAGAGAAATAGTCTATGCACCACAACCCTGATCCCACCAATCCAAGCAGCTTTCTGCCAGTAACACTAATAATTTCCATCTTTGTAAAGCTAGTTGAACTGGGGCCAGGGTTCACGTGGATCCTATGCAAATACAAGCCGATAGTGCTTATGGAGGCATGATCAACTGCACATGACTGGTCCAACTATTAAGCATTTGACTCCCCTTCATTAACCTAGAAACCTGCTGGAAAACCGGCATATTTCTTACTCAATTCCCCGTTTGTCTTGCATCTAGAGGCGAGAAAGTGAAGATAAAATGGTTTTAAGTCGCTCTACATGAATGGAGCGTAACTAAACAATGCTCTCTCCGGAGTAAAGACCAAGAGAGCAGCTGCCGACAACACTGGGAGTCAGCATAAAGCTGGTTGTCGAACTTGTCAGAGTGACTGCTTTCTTTCAAAGCCCTTCTTGCAAACTTCATTCACACAGAGCAGGGATGTGGGTATGAAAGGCTTAAAGGCGTGCCAACACACAAACCTAAAGACACGCACGTTTGCCTTCTGCTGCGACTTGAACTGCAGTATTGTGCGACGGTTTTGGGAGAACAACAAGACAAGTCTTCCTTTTAGCTGCAAACCGTTGCGCCCGGTCTGAACTCTCCCTCCCTCTTCCCCTTCAGACCTCTGTTCTCGTCAATAGGCTTCCTACAAGCCATCTGCTCAGGGGCCAAGGGACCACTGCCACCCTGACGCTCCTCGACACACCCCATGACCTGGCATTCTTCTCAGGGTGCCCCCCTTGATGACTCCCACGTAAGCTCCGTGTTTAGTCTGGCACCGTGTGCGTCTCAGGACTGTAGCTCGGGCGAACTGTGAGGACCGGGCCACACCTCGACGTGGTATAAACAGTTGGTACATGAAGGCATTGTGTTTATGGAGAAAACTGCCGTTTTCCTACACGGAGACCACCGTGCATTTGGTGAACAGTAGCTACAACTTCCGTCAAAGTCGGAAAGAACTAGGTGTGCAATTCTGACCCTTGTGTCCTTGAATTTAAACTTGGGAACCAAAGCTGGAGGAAGAAACTATTGACACAGCAGTGTGAAACACAGGGCGAGTCCCCAGACAACTTGACCTCACAGTAGTATCATGATGCTGTTAGTGCAGTTTTTTTAACCTTGGAGATACAGAAATCTTGCAGGACTTAATGACTTTAATGACATACCAAAAGAAGTGCGGTTGTGCAATAATGCTGAATATGGGTTAATCATGTGCTTCTCATGATCCTAAATCAACAATGCACATAACAAATAAAAAGGAAAATAATCTCATACAGATATTAAGTACCAACAAGGTTTCATGTTTTTGAATTATGACGGCGTGAACTAGGAACATATGAGGTCATTTGTTATTGGAAGTGACTGTTAACACGATCACACTGCCTTCCTCCTGTCAAATCACTGCCCATGGGACTTGTCTCTTATCACTTTCCTCCTGGCGCCGTGACAACAGAGCTCTTAAAGGAGCAGTGTGCTTAAAGCTCCACTCGTTTTAGACACAGCTTAAATTCACACTTACACAAAAACAACCACACAAGTTGTCTCAGGACAAAAACAACAACAACAGGAAGTGAAGAAGAGAGGATAGTGTCTCCTGCTGAGTTTTTGTCATATGAAGCAGATTTTAAGTATCCTGCGGTTGCTTGCTTGTGAGGAGCAATGTCAATCTATGAATCACTCGCTGAAAGCCCATATTACTGTGTGGTGGATTCAGCCAAAGCCACCAAACATCCATCAAAGTGCTTGTTAAGTGTCTTTCGGACTTTTTCATTATACATTTAGAAGCTCTGCGTCTGGCTCCCGACCAAAAATGACATGGCAGCCTTCTGAAAGATTTATACACGTATGCCACTGCCACTCCAGAGTGATGCCAAGAAAATAAAAAATACGACGGGATACCACCAAGCGAGTATCCAGCATCTTCAGTATGAGACACAAAGTGTGGACAAGGTGGTAAGTTTGTCAAACTCTCTTGTAAAGTCCTGAGTCATGCATACGATACTCACTGAAGTAATAAAGTCTGAGATTGTGAAGAGTCTGTTGTGTCATCATGTACAAGGCTACATGTGGCAGGCTTATAGAGCACGGCAGAGATAACCACTGAAACACAAACTAACTAACAGACACAGGTGGAAACTAAACAGCACTCGCAAATGCAAACACGCGGAGTAACCCACACCTGTGGATCTGGACAATAGGAAACACAATAGCAACCTCTTCACCTCAGCCTCCTCTTAATCCAGTAAATAGGGAAAACAAAAGGGAGCGAGAGATAAAACACAGAGCCTATAACATCCCTTACCTCTGTGGCCCAGGCTTTCATCTAAAGGCTCTTTGAACAACTTGCAAAGAAGAAATCTGGTGTTCTCTGATCTCAAAGTGGGTTCTCCCAGCGAAAGCTCGTTGTGTCTTAAAGCAAAACACACGCACCGCCTCTGACTCACATACACACACACACACACACACACACACACACACACACATACACACACACTCCCAGACACACTGTAGGACACGTGGAAACTTCCTCCCGGCTTGGAAGCAGCAGCGAATCACAGCCCTCCCGAGAGTAACCCTGGGTAACGGAGCGCCGAGAGGAAAAGCAGGAGAGCTGGGAGGAAAAAGTGAAAAGTTCTCAACAGAAGAGCTCTCTCAGGAAGAGAAGGATGTTTTATAGCTCTCGTCCATTTAGAGTCGCCACTGCAGAAAGGCTCCACTACTCCGCCGTGTTGTTTTTCCTCTATCCTGCTTTTCCGTTGGCTAGGAGGAGGATGCGGGGCTCGTTACAGCCAAGGCGGTTTTCCATAGCAGTTTGAGGCGATTGGGCCAGACAAGCTGGCGTATAATGGCTGCAGCGCTGCCTGGGGAGGCACTGGGGAGGGCGCAATGACTGGAGCTCTTGTCTGACCCTAAATACCACAATGACCCAAGGGCCAGCTACTGGGGAGGCAGCAATTGAGTGCGTGTGCATGAGTGAGTGTGAGGCAGAGAATAAGAAAAAAAAGTCCAGGGAGCGAAGGCGTGGTGCGAAAAAGAGGGAATTACACACGCAAGACAGCAATATGGCTATGCTGTGTGGAGGGTTCTAGGGGCCAGAGTGGCCAAATGCGCATCTCCTTTCGAGGAGCGAATTAAAATGCAAGAAAGTGAGTCAAAACCTTCTCTGGAATTAGAATTTCTGAAATGCACACAAAGTGTTGTCTTAAGTCTTACGCCAGATCCCAGCGGAGACGAACTTGAGACAGCCGTTGCTCTAAAAAAAACACACAGACGTGCGCACGTGCCTCCATTTGTCTACGGTTCACATAACTGTGGTCAAACAGTCAAACTGGACCCATTCAGAAAGCCACACCAGAACACAACACGGACCACGAGTGCGAGGCTGCTTCCAAAGCCGCTCCCAACTCTCTCGTGGGGCCCGCGTTTATTCCAGAGGCTCTGAGCGTTATTGCCGTTCAGGGACATCACTCCAACAAATTGAAAACACGAGAGCCTAGGTAACTGGAACGCTCAATCGGGTTCTTCTTAAGAAATTCATCTCGGCTTGAACAGCTATTCAAAGTCACGAC